CCTTTGGAGCCCAATCTCATAGAGAAAACTTGGTCTATATATGCCCATATTAAATTTATTTCTCAACCAATGTGGGATTGATGTCGCATCCCACATTGCACTTCTTTTATTTTCATATTTCAAGAGAGTCACTTTGGAGTCTATTTTCGCATTCATTTCTTACTTGATTTGAGTAAGTGAAAATATCACATTATTCCCCTCACAGAGTAGAATATGAACCCATAAAATTTTATTCAAAATAACAATTGAGTCCCATTTTAATTTAAGCTCAAAGTCGACCAAAAATTCAATTTTTACACTCAAAAAACTGTTTTGGTCCAACAGGAAGAAGGTTTTGGCCACGAGGCAGCCTCATTAGAGAACCTTTGCACCTTGATTCCTCCACTCTCTCTAGGAGCAAGCTTAATTTTGTAAGGATGTATATTGATATTGATGCATCTAAGGACATTCCAAAGTTCTTCAAAATTAAGTTGGGTGAGGTTACATATGAAATCTTAGTTGAAATCACTTGGATGCCTCAAAAATGTTTAGCATACAAATTGTTTGGTCATTCCAATGTTGGTTGCCCATTAGTTGCTAAATAAAATCCTCCTCACATTTGGGGAAAACGAGGTCAGTACTAAAGAGCCTTGCAGTGATGAATGACGTGATGCTCTTAAAAGCAAAATAAAAGATAAGATAGAGGTGTCTCTTGTAGGGATGTCAATGGATTGAAACGGGGGCGGAGAGTGTAGTCTCCATTCTTGTACTTGCATAAAAAAATTTTGTCCATTCCTGGTCCACTTCCGTTAACGAGTATAATTTTTATCTTCATCCCCGTCCGCGGATATATTTTAAATCTCTGCCCCCGTACCCTCTTTTTTCATACCTGCCCAAGCTTAAGCCCAAGCCCAAAACTAAACCCAATCTCAAGCCCAAGCCAGTTTAAGGCCAAACTCAAACCAACATAATACAAAATTTTAAATAAATTCAACAAAATTTAAATAATTTAAACACAACGTACTGTACTTATCTGGAATCATGTTTCTTTACTACCAAAAAGGGCGAGCACCTAAATATATTCTTCACTCTACTGATGTTGCAAATTAACCAACGTAGAAATAGAAACCCAAAAATCCTATAGTATATGAGAGTTTAATAATAATGTTTTGAGGGCTCCATTAGTACCAATTGACATGAGACAACAAATAAGCAACAATCAACTAATGAACGCAAAAAAAAAGGGCAAAATCAACTTATGAACGCAAAATATATACATATATAAATAAACAGAATACTAACTCGAATGATTGGATATAAAAAATATATATAAAAAAAATCATTCGAACAAAATACTAACTCGAAGAATACTATTGGATATAAAATATATATATATAAAAAATCATTCGAATAGAATAGTCACTCGAAGAATACTATTGGATATAAAAAATATATATAAAAAAAATCATTCGATAAATATATATATCGAATGATTGGATCCTAACTCGAAATAATTTGATGTTTCGTTCATTTATCAAACTCTAACTCGTACAGTGGGAATAACCTTCATCAAGGACGGTGTAGACTGACGACTGTTGCGTGGCCGGAGAAGAGGCGAGGATGAGGGTCTTTTCATGGTGGAGCTTGTTTCAGGTAACTAGAAAATATGAGGATTCTATAATAGTGATTCGCGAAGTTGTACCTTGAGCCAGTGTATTTCACGCCTGTTGAATCACCGACTAAGGATGGGTGAGATCTAGATTGTTCAAAGATTTGGGTATTGGTAGGTCTTTGTACTCACCAACCGAGGATGGGTGAGATCTAGAATGTTCATATATTAAAATGAGTACTCACCGTCCCAAAGCTTGGTGGTGCAAAATGAGGGCCAATCCAAGATCTGTGAGGAGCTGCGATGGGTGTCTATTTTACTCTGTGTGTGTGTGCGACAGAGAGAGAGATGGAGGTGGCAGCCGAAGGCTGATAGAAGAAGAGGCGAATAAATTAGGGCTTTAAGCCTTAATTGGGACTGTGATATTTATATATAACGGGGACTGGACAGGACTGGGCGGGGGGGGGGGGGCGGGGATAAGGGTAAGTCCATCTTCGCCTCCATTTCTACACGGGTTTATACGAGTATTCTTGTATGTATCTATCGTCCAATATGTATAGTCCGTTTTCGGTCCAAATGGGACGGATTTGAACGAATACCTATTTTTCTCCGATCCATTGTCATCCCTAACCTCTTGTGGAAGGCATTAGAAATATTAGCAGATGAGAAACATCCTCATATCCTTTTAATGTTTTTTTGCTCGGGCTCTCCTCCAAAGCTTAAGAGTCCAATTACTTGTCAACTAGAAATAGATAAAGGAAATGATACTTCACATGTGGAGGAGAACGACAAGGTTGAAGAGTTGGAAGATCTTGATAATTCCTTTGATGATGATCTTTTTGAAGGGATCTCTCATCCAAAGAGAGAAACAAGAGAAAGTTCCATTGAATGGTTCAAAGTGTGACGGCTAGAAGATCCAATATCAATACCTTAAGTATTACAGGACTTCGGGAACAGTAAAAGGCTTATCCTTAGTACTTAGTAGATGTTATTAAGGCTTGTGTAAATCTTAGGTGGTGGATGTAATGTTAAATTTTGTGAAGATCTCATAATTTTAGGTATATCATTAGGCCACAAAAAAAATTAAATCTATTAAATTTTAGGTCTTACAAAAAAGCCCTAAAAAATTAGATTCAATTAAAATTTTTATTGCAATAATTTTGTCATACACTCTCAAATATCAAAAATCTCAATTTGCATCCTCAAAGATAGAAATTTGTATCAATGTGCACCCTTAAAGATAAAAAATCTCAATTTGTACCCTCAAAAATAAAAATTTGTATCATGTGCACCTAAAACTAAATTGATAAATTATACCTAAAATTCTTTATGCTTGTCACTTAATCATTTGAACCCTTCACATTTAAAATATTTTTCTTACATCTCATGACGTTTGTGCACGTGTAACACGTAACTCATTTTCGTTGATATCTGTTAATATAACTGTTAAAAAATATGATTTTATTTTAATAAAAAATTATAATTAAATATTACCTTTTATTTTATGGGTTCAATATACTCTAAAGTTTAAAATCAAGCCATTTGAATGTCTAATAGAATAAAGAGTTGCACATTGAGTGATATATTGTATCGGATATAAAAAATATTATATAAATATCTACATTATATTAGACATTCAAATAATAAGCTTGATTTTGAACTTTAGAGTATATCGAACCTACAAAATAAAGGGTAATATGAAATTATAATTTTTTATTAGAATAAAATTATATTTTTTAACGGTTATATTAACCGATATCAATGAAAAGGGGTTACGTGTTATACGTGTACAAATGTTATGAGATGTAAGAGTAATATTCTAAATGTGAAGAGGTCCAAATGATTATGTGACAAACATGAGGGGATCTAGGTATAATTTATCAAATTTAGTTTTAAGTGCATGATACAAATTTCTATATTTGAAGGTGTAAATTGAAATTTTTTATCTTTGGGGGTCTAAATTAAAATTTGAACTATCTTTTGGGGTGCGATTTATAATTAATTCTTTTTCAAAATATAATTTATTTACCTATAAAAAAAAAGAAAAAAATAATGAAAATATGCCGAAGCCAATGAGAACTTGGTCGGCATTCAAATTTGTGCAAGAATAATGCTGGTTGATTGTGAGAAAGAAGATTCGTCAGCAGCTCTTGGCACAAAAAAGGACAAAGCTATTTTGAGTTACTTGAAAATTTGCATCAAGAGCTTTGGTGCAACCTACGGATAAAATGGATTGTAGAAGAATATCAGAATAGGAAGAAGATGGTGAAAAACCAAAGTTCAACATTGGAATTGAGAAACTAGAAGCTCAAAATGGTATATGTAAAATCATAATCTTTATGCATTTCCCATCTTCTTTTTAAAAAAAGTGTTGCATTTGACGTTAAGTAATAGGGCATTTTGCCCAATCTATTTATTTATTTTTTTTTGGGTCAAGCAATTACATGGGGAGGAGAGATTCAAAGCTAGCATCTCTCGGTGATGGACGCAAAGTTCCTGCTCAATCAAAAGCTAAAAACAATAAAAATACTAGGAAAAGATACATCGTCTGAGAATAGATGCTTTTTCAGAACAATTTAAGACTCAAAGATAACAAGCATGAACTTGGAAAAAGTGACTGCAATCCCACGTTGACGAACTTGACAAAGATTTATCGCAGCTTAAATAAGACAAGTTGAAACTGAATGTTAAATTATTCAATCAAAAAGCATAATTGCATTTCTTGAAAAGTAGTCATTGCCAAAAGACTATTTTCAAATAGTCTTACGTGATCGGGATATAGACTAAGATATTATGTCGTAATTTTTTTCTTTTTATAGAATATGCATGCAATAGTGGGTTGTTAAAGTTTATTAGTTGTCGTATAGGTTTTTAATTGAATTATCAAAATAATGATTCAAATATACCCATATTTCAAAAAAAGTTTCGAAGTTTTAATATACAATATTTCACACTTAACATGGTCTATGCGAAGAGCATATATCCATCAACTAGTCTCATAGATATCTCTTTAATTTTGTATTTTGTTGTAAGTTGTTCCTAAGCTTTCAATTGTTCCAATTTGTTTTCTAAACTATGTCCTTTATTTTAAATTGCCCCTAAGTTTTTAATTATCCTAATTTGTCCCCTAAATTATGTAATTTATTTTAATTGATTAATTTTAGATATATTCCGTTAGGATCAACTATTAAATGAGACAAATTCCGTTACTATTAACCGTTAAGACAATTAATCTTAAGGAAAGTGATTAATTCAAATAAATTACATACTTAAGAAGGTAAATTAGAATTAGAAGAAGTTCACATAGGAACAACATACACAGACCAGAGTACACAGTTGTGGATAACACAGTCGTGATAAATAAGATACACGCGACCACCTAGAAAAGATTGAAGTCCTCGGGAGAAACAAATAAGTCGGTTGTGGACTTTCATCATACCTTTCGTCACACCATTCAGACAGTTCCCAAGTTCCCAAACCTCTCTCTCTCTCTCTCTCTCTCTCTCTCTCTCTCTCTCTCTCTTCCATCTTTCAACTGGGCTTTTCTTGCGAAGAAGATCATCAGAGTTGAGGGATACTGTCAAAAAGAGATGGAGATTGAGGTGAGAGTAGTGGGAGGAATAGAGAGCTGTTTCGTCTCACTCCCGCTGCTTCTCATCCAAACCCTTGACTCCACTTACTCTCGCTCCGGACAGCCTCTCCCTCCTATTCTCGCTCTGGAGCTTCGCTCTCTTGATGGAAATCAACTATGGCATGTGGCTTGGTCTGGTTCTGCCTCTACTTCTTCCGCAATTGAGGTACCTATTTCTCGTACAAAATTTTCAATTTTAATTTCCTATCAATTTGACCCATGATTTTGTTTGATTGAATTTCACATGCTATTTTGTTGCTCAATTTTCGCTTTGTTCTATGTTGACCCATTAATTAATTTACTTGACTTTCCAATATTCATGGCTTTATTGTATTATTTTCTACCCAATTTCACTTCTAGCAATGGATTGGCTTGGTTTAATTGGCATTTCCCGAACACCCTTTCTTGTTTATAACTCTAATTTAGTCCTACATATGGTTTTATTCTGTTGGATTTCACACTTCTTAATTTTTTAGGCTGCAGAATTTCTGTTTTTGTGCTTGACTTGTAAGTTTGAATAGTTGAACTTTGTCAAATTTGGTTCTTAATAACGAATAATAAAAGAGGAGCTAGCTCTTGGTAGTTTTAGTAATCTGCAGCATGCCCTTAGACTTGGTGATGTTTTTGCCGATAAATTCAATGAGGCATGCTCATTGATTTCCCAGGAAGCAAAAACCAACGTTGTAGAATAGGAGGAAAATGATAAGACAATACCCATAAAGTACGAGTTGAATGGTATCAATTGGTGGCTATCTAATCCCTTTTTCTGGACCTCTTTCACCATTTTTAAAAAGTCAAATTACAAAGGTACCAACCTCCATGTATTCCAAAATACCTATGTTACATCTTCTCTTAGTTAAGTTTTCGGATAAGTTAACATGGTATCAGGTCTACCGGTGCTTTCAGGCAAGACTCTCTATTACATAGGAATTGTTCCCTTTGTTCTTATTGTATTCTTATTCTGATTATGGGTTTGGGATCTTGTGTTTACCTCTACACATGCAAGTGGCGTCACACGTTCCGGGAGTACTAGATTTTGTCCCACATCGATGCAATGACACTTTTAAAACATAGGTCCTGTGTTTGAATCTTTTTGTCATCAAATTTGCTCATGTTTGACCCAAATTTGGCTTGCATGTGAGGTGGCGTGGTAAAGTATTAATACTTTTTACCATATCTAACAACTTAAGTTTTTGTACGAGTTGATGGTTTAGAACTAGCAATCCCGTGCTATGATTTATGGAAATGTAAATTAGCACTTTGTGCCAGCTATACACAGAGGCCAACAAAATGTGCATAGAAATATGGACAATTTTATTGCAGGATCTCCTGCGATAATAATTCATCACTATTTTTGCTTCAACAATGAACAAAGGGTGGTCTCATTACCTGTGTTGTTTCACAGACTCACCTTCTTTCTGGTGATTGGCATTAGACTTTTAGACACAAGTGTTTTGAGGTGAAGAAGATTAAATGATCTCCACAGAAACCAAGTGCATAAGTTGATTGCATGATGATTATGAATATGAGGTTTAGGTTCTGCATGTATGCGTGTGTGCCTTAAGTGAGATAATTCATCCACCTAGTTTGATTCTTTCTATTGATGAGGAGATTCCATCCCTTTTGTTTCTATAAGCAAAGTAGGCAGTTTTTTGGCAGCTGATTAGTGTGATGTCAAACAATGAATAGGCTGGATGTTGTAGCAATTTAATTTTTTTCACCAAACAGTCGCTTTTTCCCTCCGTGTAAAATAAAATTCATGACATCATTTAACATTTTTTGAATTGAATATATGGAATTTAAATGTTCCATTTGACATAGAGAGGAAGCCAACCTAGGGAGGAGGCTGGATAGACTCTCGTTAAGTCATAGTTGGTTAAACCCCTAGTATGGAGAGATTAAGATGACTCTCTTATAGAAACTTTATTGACGCTTTATGCAACAACCCTTTAACTATACCTACCTTTAATAAAGAGTATGACATTGCATCCGAGCATTCATTCTCTTTTTTTAGCTTTGCCCCATTGCTTGTTCTTGAATTTGGAATATGTTCAAGTTTTATGTAAAGATATCAAAAGTAGGATCTCCAATCTTCATGTTGAACAAAAACGAATACAGAATCTGTTACTGCTGATGTGACGATGGTATGGTGATTTTTGTGTGTGTAGATTCTTGTGTACACTGTTCTTGGTTTTGTATGGAGACACAATGAATGTAACTGTCACATACTTTCTCTGCATAGTTGATCTAATGCACAATTGCACATTGTATCAAGTATCCACTGTCAGATATTCTATTTTTGAAAAATGGTAGAATTATCGCAATTTTAGTTTTAATTGCATGTTAAATGAATCATATTAATCCCTTGATTTTTCAATTAAAAATTAATGTTCAGACATGATTTATTTAAAATTTGGTATTTTATTGACTACGAAGGCTTTGGGACAGAATATCATCATGAAAGTTGAGGGTTTACATCCAATCTAATAGAGATATTCTACTTACCAAAAAAAAAACCCGAGATATTCTATCTTGAAAATTTTAACTATTTACTGCTAATTTTAACCCTGTTAGTGCTCTTTAGGTTACTGGTTCCATCTTACCCAGAAATATTGTATACTTGGATTTCCCATATTTACTGGTATGCTCCACTAATATAGAGGGCACAAATAGCTTTCACAACATATCAAGGGACACTTTAGTGAAGATTCTGATCATATAAATTAGATGTAAAAATGTTCACCAGTGAGGATACTTTATCGGAGGAGGGAGGGGGTAGCTAAGAACAAAATGAGTCTGTTAATGTGTTCATTGAAAACTTTGTACTTCTAGAACAATGGTGTAATGTGTATATGATTCGTTTGCTGACAGAAAACAAGATTAAGTCGCTCTTACATGAAACCTGGCAGTTGCAGTGTGTGGGTTCACTGTATGTAGTGCATTCGTATTTATCATCTTATGTATCTTAAAATAAAGCCATATTATTCCTTATCCCACATTGCCCCTACAATCATTTTCTTGGTGTATTTTACTGTGTTGGGGCTTGTAAAGTTACTACAATGGAGGTGAGTGAGTCTCTATGTGTACATGAAATTTTTATTTGACTTTTGCATTGAGAATTCTTTTGTTGTTAACAGTTTTTTCACTTAGTTTCTTTTTTTGACTGTTTACATAGATTGCCCAGCAATTTGCAGAATGTATTCGCCTGCCAGGTTATACTACTGTTCAAGTACGAGCTGTCCCTAATCTGCCAAAAGCTTCTCTTGTAACAATTGAACCCCTCACTGAGGATGATTGGGAAGTTTTGGAGCTTAACTCTGAGCATGCAGAGGCAGCTATTTTGAAGCAGGTGCTTAATTAATGTTCATTTAATATTTATTTCAATTTACTGTCAAGGACGTAGCACCTTCCCTTTTTATTGAGTGCCTTGCCATGTTAGTGAGCTGTATTGTGATGCAGTTGCTGATGGATAATCTCTTAAATTGATATATTACAAAGCATGCTTCATATTTTCAGACAAAAGTGCACCTGGTCCCTTGCCATGTGTTTGTCATTACATGAAAAGATAGAAAATTCGTGTTTTGATTGAACACTCCTCCAATCTGATGCAAAGCGAAATTGAACTGTACGATCCTTGTGTTTTTGTTTTTTCAGTTTATATTATCATAATGCCAAGGATGGATTCGGTTTACGTCTTCTTAAACTGAAAATTTATTTATGCTGGATTATATGTAAAGAGTTTTGCCTGGGTTAGTATTTGCAAGGCTTTTTGGTGTTAACGACTCTTGATGCCATTCACATTGGGTAACACTAGTTTTTATTTGAAATTTAACCAGTAATCCTGGGCACTTCTTTATCTCGATAATTCTTTGGTTCTTTGTGTGAGTTAGTGATCGTTAGTTCTCTGTCCCCTTCTTGTTGCATTCCTCCTCCTTGATTACAACTCGTGGAAGAACTCAAACAGCAACTATACATTTTTCCTTACTTTTTTACACTTCAGCCCAGAGGGAACATGCATAAAGCTGGTGGATCAGTATAGACTGGGTCCTTGCATGTGTCTCAAAGACGGCCCTGGAGTTTAATTTTTGTTGTTTATTATGTGAAGTGGCTGCTATTCTTTCATTGCACACGACTGTCTTATTATTTTATTGGAATCTGATAGGCTTACACATCTAAAAAAGTTGATTGTAATATTTCTATATGTGAGTGTGCTACACATCTGTGAGACAGAGATATTCATCATACTCAATCGTATTTATAAGTGGTAGGGAGAGTTTTCTAGCTCAGTTGAACATTATTGTTAAGAATAATAGGGTAGTATGTGTAAATTGTTAATAGTAAGAGGGTGTATGTGTTATTATTATTATTGTAGGTTAATTATAAATACAAGTTATGTATGAGAGTTAGGTTAAGTTTTAACCTCTCTTTTCTCTAATATTGTGTTATGTTATTTCACTCAACTTAACATGGTATCAGAGTTAAACAATTTTAAATCTAAATATTAAATCAAGGGTTCTTTGTTGTCGTCGTTATGCCCACTGTCGTCGTCGTCGATGGTTGAGTGTAACGAGGAGGTTGACGTTGTGGTGTCTTGTTCAAGCACTCTGAAGTGGTTGTCTAGTAGTGGTGGTGGCCGTCGCAGTCGACTGGGTTGATCGACTCATGGCTGTGGTGGTAGTCGAATAGGTTTGGGAGTGCCATTTGTGTCGTGTGGTTAGGTGGTGGTGCTGTGTGGCGGTGCTGCTGTGTGAATAGTGAGGAGCATTAGGGTTTGTTTGGGAAGAAGACAACCTCCTGGGTCGGGTTTGGGTGGCTGAGTCAAGATCCAAGCCCAGATCTAGTTAAAAAAAAAAATCCAGAACAGCCTGGTCTAGAACCGGTTCAACCTGGTGCAGTCCCGGTTCAACCTAGTTTAGTAAGATTTACATCGGTTCAATCTTGGTTCAGTAGTCCAATGGCTATTCCTTGGCCGATTCAGCAGTCTAGTGGCCATTTCTTAGTCGGTTCAGCGGTCCAGTGGCCATTTCTTGGCCGGTTCAGCAGTTTAGTGGCCATTCCTTGGTCGGTTCAGCAGTCCTAGAGCTCAATTCAGTTTGGTTCAGTCTTCCAAAGAGCTTAGCTTGATAGGTTCAGCGGTCCAGCCCCTCTTTTCAGTCTAATTTAGTCTTTCAACTTTTTTTTTTCTCCTGGCTTAGCATTGTCACACTTCTTGTTTGCTATTTGTTTGCACTATTTTGGAACCCAAACAAGATACCAGGTCCCTTACTCCATCTTTGCCTCCTCTGACTCTTATCAATAGTCCCATGACCTCTGTTCAAGTCTTTCTTCGAGGCAAAGGATTTAAGAAATATTTGG